GGCCCACCCCCTGCAGGCCCCGCCCCTCGGCGGCCCGGTGGGGTCCAGACGGCTGGCCGCGTGACTTCTCGCAAAACAGGTGTAGATGTCAAGCGTGCCACACACTTAGCGCATTTGCCCAGATTAAAATTTTAATTGAAATTTATTGTGGGTCATCAGCTAGTAATAGGGCCAGGTTATTTTGTTTCTCGATGGAATCCCTCATTACTCATTCCACAAACACATCTTGGTTTCCTTTTGTGTACCTGGCACTGTATTGGAATGCTGCATAGTCTCAGAGAACCAGAAAGACGTGATCCAGGCGGGATAACTGGCAATTACAGTTCTGCTTTGTTGGAGCGTACTGTATCCACAGCTGGGGCACCCCCTGCTACTTAGAGGCTTTCTTGAGGAACAACCTTTAGGCCAAGGCAAGGCTGACTACAGTGTTGGCCAGGAAAGGAAAATAGTTGGAAAAGAATCTTCTAGGACTGAGGAAGAGCAAGTGTGGGGTGAGCAGAAAAGACAAAACTAAGGAAACAGTCGAATTAGGGTGAGTGAGTCGGGGAAGTGAGGAGAGATTGAGTTGCTGTTTCAGAAAGCTATTTGGAAACCAATTTAGGAATTTTTTTTTTCTTAAAAGCAACAATGGCATCACTGAAGATTTTGAACCTTGGGCGAGTGGTATGATAGATTTTTGTAGGTGAAAGAAGGGCAGAATAGAGTAGAAATGACCTACATGAGAGATAGGGTATGGAGTATATGGAATGGGATGGAGAGAAATGCATGGGGAATATTTATAAGTTGGGAGAGACAATTTGATGGTTAAGTGAGAGAAGGAGAAAGTGGATATTAGGGTTCTGGCTTCTATAGTTGCATGCATGATGGTGCCACAGGTATTAGAAACCTGAAACAGGCATTCCTCAGATGTCTGGTCATCTTTGTTCATGATTAAGAGCTACAAGGTCTTTGACTGGTAGTCATTGATATTAGCAGTGTAACGGGTTTGGTGCTGAATAGTGTCAGGATATATTGTCTTGCTAAATGGATGGGTTTGGAGAGAGTAGTGCTGGTGGTGGTCTGAACCTCCTGTACAGTCCTGCCACTGGAGTAGAGACTAAAGAAGTGTTGTATTACTAAAGGGAGATACCATAGGATTCATCACTTCAAACATTATCTTGCTGGTATTTTCAATGGCTTTGGCTCTGGCTCCAAATTCCCACATACCACCTCAGCTCAATACCAGTTTCCTTCTTATCCATTCCTACTGGAAATTGAGAAGGAAAAATTTTCTCCTCACACTCAAGTTATAATTTTGTCTTCTACTTCAGAAAGAAAATTAGAACTATTAAGTAGGAATACTACTTTTCTCTTTTCCTCCTCCAACATACTCATTCACTCCCTTTCTTCTAGAAGATGAACCTCTTCCTGCACTTCTATGTTCATTGTAGCACTATTACAATAGCTAAAATAGCACACAACCTAAATGCCCCAAAACAGATGACTGGATCAAGAGATGTGGTATACATACAAATTGGAAATATTATTCAGTAATCAAAAAAGACAAACTCATGCCATTCACAGCAACCTAGAGGGAGCTGGAAAGGATTATTCTCAGTGAAAAAAAAATAAAAAGAAAAATATCTGATGGTTTTACTTGTAGGAGGAATGAACAAAGGTGGGGGGGTGGGTGCAGGCAGAGATAAAATTAGCAGGCAAACTACAGACCTGAAATGTACCACAGGGCAGGAACAGAAAGAGGAGTCAATAAAGGGGAGGGGAGAGCACAAGAGACTCTGCTGATGGTTCACAGATGAATTGGTGGTAGGAATTTTACAGGAAATACATTTGAGAAGAAATAAAACAAAAATGAACGATGTAATTTTTTTTTCAAAAATAATAAAATATGACCATCAAATTTCTCCTTTCTCAGGCATCTCAATCTCGTCATTTCTATTAGTTCTTTACTTTAAAATCCTGTTCAAATCAGTCACATTTTCTACAGACAGCTATAATTGATCCCCGTAATAGTGGTTCTTCCTGCCTCCTGAATTCGTTTCACTCAGACTTTCATGCCTAACACTCTACAAACACTGCACTTGCTTATGTCTTCCCTTCCAGAAAATATGCTCCACATGACCACTTTTCATTCTGTTATACTTCCACCCCTAAGTTAGCAGAACACTTAGTAACCAAGTTAAAGAGGACATTCTCTGTCTTTCTTCCAGTTGTGGCTATCTCAGAATGTTGTGGCCAGGGAAATGGTAGTTGAACTGGATCATGTCCCTTCCAAAGGAAGCTGCTTGCCATGAACTTCCCTTTTTCCCTTCCTACTGTCTAGAAATGGCCAAAGAAATGTAGACCAGAAACACAAGTCATGTATTAAAGAAAGCAAACTGTCCCTATAACTTAAGTCCCAGTCTAACTTCAAGGAACTGAGGTATCTCCTTTCTTTGATCAACTATAGACTTCTGGATCATTACACAAGAGAAAAGAAACTGTTCTTTTAAAAATCACTGCTTGGATCTGTTATAGTAGCTTTAGCCCAGTCCATTCACTAATGCACAGACATTCTTTCTGTTTTATTGTCAACTTCATCTCCTAGAGCTAAAATAGTGCATGGCACAGAACACATGTTCAATAAAAATTTGTTGAATAAATTCTGAAACAATTAATGTCTCTATTCTATACCCACCATCTCTAGCTAATGCTTTTTGCTTTCTCTCCTTTTCCATCTAAGTTTCTGTGATTAATGGCTATTCTTTTTTTTAACTAATAGTTCCTTATACTCTCTAGTCCCTATACAATAAGTGACACTTTCCTCATTCTACTTGAAATTAATTCCTCTTTCCCACTATGCCATGCTCCCTGTGAATTGTATATTTTTAGTACAGAATTTTGATTTCTATTTAAGGCTAGATAATCTTTTCACAAAGGTTAAGGATGAGCAGATCCAATATATTTTTAAATATCTTTTTAAAGTATCCTAGATTACTTTCAAATATATTTTGTAAATCAATGCATTGCTTACACATTTTGGGGATTACATCTAACATTGTCATAAAAATTATGTAGTTGCCAGTAATATAATTTTTAATGTATTTTGAATAGTGAATAAATTTGTTGAATCGCTTTAAATGTATCCACAGAAATTTAAATACCATAGTGAGAGTTACTAAGGTTATGATTCATTTAAAAATTCTGGGAATAAACTATTAATTGTAGGAAATTTTATATTATCCTTTAGCTTGTATTTCCATTCTGTTGCCTCCTGCTGGACTATTTATTTGTTAAAAAAACAATTATAAAGCATATATGTGTGCCAGGTACTTTAGAACATAAACTCATTCAACTCTCTCCTAGGTTTGCTACCCTGGACACTGTAAGTGTCCCACTCAAGATTGTAATGATAACTCAAGACACTAGTAACAGAGGGAGCACTAGTTTCCTGAAAGCAAAAGAGGAAGAATTAAAGCTGCAGGAAGGCCACATCAAAGAAAGATGGTCAGCTCTTCATCAGGGCTGGGGCTGATAAGGGCAAGGGCCTCAGTTGTCTTTGCCTCGTCTCCACCTTTCCTTCAGCCTGTTTCCTCATTAACTTTTCTATCTTCTAGTTGGGCAGCTCTCACTGTCCAGAGAATTCCCATTTTCTGGGGTTCTTTTGATAAACTGTCATTTAGATGAAAAAGACTCAAAATAGACAATGA